GGTACAATTACTAAGTCAGGGGGTGTGACTGTCTGTGTGGAATTTTGCCACGAAACACATAAAGCTTTCCCTTTGACAATGGCTATTTACTTAAAGCCCTGGACCCTCCCAAATGCCTAGGAATCTTCATTTTAGAAATCATCTATTTTGGGTTTGTTTTTGTTTTACTTGGTGGTGGAGAGGCTAAAGGAGACAGCTGGGAGGAGATGGGCAAACCCCAGTTTGCCCAAAGAAATGTCTCTTTTCTGAGGGCCATGAAGAATTTAGGAGTAAGGCAGACCTGATTTTTTTTGCCCTAACTGCTACAGCTGGGTTGTGTGGACTTAGGACAACAGCCCTTTACTCCAACACTCAATTTCTTCACCTCTGAAATAGAGATCTCAACTATATCTATCTCATGAGTCTGTTCTGAGGATGAAGTGAGAAAATGCACTGAAACCCTGGAAGCAGAACTTGGCCCATAGTAAGGGCTCCACAGACACAGGCTGAAACTAAGGTCAGCAGAGAAGCTCCCCCACAGCCCCAGAGCCCAGCCCCACTGAGAGAAAGCTTGCAGAAGCTGGACCCACAAACCTGCCCCGTGACAAAGTAGCTGCCTAGATGAAAGGCCAATATTTCTCAGTGGCTCTGGCACTGGTAAAAATGAAATGATTGAAGGAAAGACAAGGGACGAAACTTCTGGGAACTTGGGAGACTGTATTATCCATCGTACCCCAGACATGATAGGAAACGTGTTCACTGAACAACTATTATGTCCCAGGTGTTTCAGGGGCACTTCCTCCCCCCAGGCCTCCCTGCTGTGTGAGGAAAACTTGGGAGTCATCTAGGCACGTGTTTGCACCCTCGCTCTGACCTCCACAAGCTAGGGAACTGCACAACAGTGTCCATAATGTTTCCTCATGGGTAAAATGTGCTGATTATCATGGTGGGAAGAAATTGTTTCTGTAGAATGCCTGGCACAGAATGGGCACCCAGTGGCAGCTGTTACTGAAACTGGCCCCAGCGCTGAGACTGGGACCAGCCTCTTGTCTCCAAAGCCCACATTCTCTCTACCACCATTCTTTCTCTCTACACAAATACCACCGTCTGTGCGATACAGAGCCCCGGAGAAAAACTTTTCTGTTGATTCAAGTGAAGGACTTTTCTGGGCATTTTGTTCAGAGCATTCTATAATTGTGAGATTCATCTTTCTATGCACTTCTAAAAGTTTTCCTTCTTATTTGAGAGCTCAAAAAGGATGGAGACCCCAAAATACAGAAAGATTTACCCCAGATCAGAGCAGCCCCTGGGGAGGGGGACCTGGGTGGCTCGGTCGGTTAAATGACCGACTCTTCGTTTTAGCTCAGGTCGTAACCTCAGGGTCCTCAGACTGAGCCCCGCATCCAGCTCTGAGCTCAACACAGAGTCAACGTGAGAGTCTTCCTTTCCCTCTGCCCCTCCCTGTGCATGCTCTCTCTCTCTCAAATAAATAAATATATCTTAAAAGAAGAAGAAGAAGGAGAAGAAGAAGAAGAGCAGCCACCAGGAACAGAAACCCTGATACCCTCATGTAGAGCTGTCCCCTCCCCCACCTTCAATGACAGCTTTCCCTGGAATAACTAGACATTCACACAAGGGGAAGGAAGCTCAGAGAAAAGTCAAGCTGCATTCTAAAGCCTTGGGGATAGTCCCCACACCTCGCTGGACCTGTTTGGTTAACAGATAAGGAAACTGAGGCCCATTCAGTCACGCTGGTTGTGATTGCTCCACACTTCTGTGTCTGAAACAAAATTACTAACCACCCTGTGTTTCTGGTAAACAGTGGTTGAGGTTTCACATCAATACGAGCGATCATATATGAGAGCGTCTCTGGCTGTGCAGTTAAATTACCACCTTTCTGGAGTAATCTCTGCCCAAAATACGCCGCGGCGAGCGGCCCATTGCACATGAAATGACCATGGCTCCGTGGGCATGCAGAGGTCTGCATCAGGAGAGAGATGCTCCCTGGGTCAAGATGGAAGGAAACCTCATGTATTGTGGCTTGTTGGTTCCAGACTTGAGACTGGGCCTACTGCTGTCAAATAATCCAGTCCCTCTTGCTGCGGTCCTCACGTGGGGGACAAATCTGCCACCCTAGGTTATTTTCAGACTCCAGGAGCCAGCAGGGGCTGCTTCAGAGAAAAAACAGCTTTAAGAACTGACCCCGCCCACAGTGGGTACCACACTTTACTGTTCTTAGCCTCAGTTTATCTATCTGGAAGATGGGTACCGTAATCTTTCCCACATCCAGTCCTATGGCTGGCAATACCATCTGTGGACTGATGCTTCCCATATTGGAATCTCCATCCTCAGTCTGTCTCCAGAGCTCTGGATTCATGCACGTGACTGTCCCCTGGACCTCTGCTCTTGACATCCAACCATTAACATGCCCCTGTGGAGCTCCCCATTTCCTGCCCCTCCAAACCCAGTCCTCCCCTCATCTGCCTCTTCCCTGTAACAGCATCTATTTTCATTCTCCTGCTCAGGCCAGAGACCCAGAGGCCCTAACTCCTCTTCTCCCCTCTCCATGCTTCATCTATCAGCCAGCTCTGCTGGCTTCCCCCACACAATACATCCAGAACCTGACTATTTCTCCCCACATACACTATTTCCACCTAGTCCTAGCATTTTCTGGCCAGGAACTAATGGATCCCTGTGTCAGAAGAGTGTTTTTAAATAGATAAAATTGGGGCACCTGGGTGGCTCAGAGGGTTAAGCCTCTGCCTTCAGCTCACATCATGATCTCAGGGTCCTGGGATCTAGCCCCACATCAGGCTCTCTGCTCGGCAGGGATCCTGCTTCCCCCTCTCTCTCTGCCTGCCTCTCTGCCTGCTTGTGATCTCTCTCTGTGTGTTAAATAAAAATCTTTAGAAAATAAATAAAGACATCCATATATAAAATGCTGGGGATTACAAAGAAGACCAATCATATTGAAATGTAGTTATCAAAATACTTTACATAAGCAGACTTGCAAGGGCACCTGGGTGGCTCAGTCAGTTGGGCATCTGACTCTTGGTTTCAGCTCAGGTCATGGTCTCTGGCTCAAGAGATTGAGCCCTGAGTCAGGCAGGCTCCCCAAGTCAGCGGGGAGTCTGCTTGAGATTCTCTTTCCCTCTGCTCCTCCCCCACTCAGTCTCAAATCAATCAATCTTTTAAATAAATAAAGAACAGACTTACAGTATATTAATATATGTGCTTCACTGGTGCCACATTAAGTGAAAAGATCTAATGGCAAGTCTAAGAACGATTATAATTACAGAGCGGTGGTGAGTACTATATTTCTAGATACTTGCAGGAGCTGTAATGTATGGTAAAACCATGTGTGATTTCCACTGGTGACAAAGTCACAGACACTGCTCTTACTGTCATTTGTTGCCTACATTTGTTGTTGAAGGGAATGCTAATATTTAGTTCGAGGTTCATAAAAATAAAGACATAGATGTGTACATATATACACACACACACACACACACACACACACACACATACACACATATATATAAGCTGCCAAACCACCCCCTCCCCCCATCTAAGCACATGAACTCCCTGAATTCTGGATAAGGACACCTGGAGTTTTACAGGATCTTCCAGCCCAGCCTCCCTCAGTCCATTTTCCACACGGCAGTCCCAGTGAACGCTTTCCTGTGTATGTGATATTATATCACTGCCCTGCTTCAGACCCTCCAAGGGTGTCCCATCAAGGAACATAAAATCCTAAATCCTCACCGCAGACAACAGGGCCCTAGGTGATCCAGGTTCTGGCTCCCTCCCCTCTCTCACTCTTACCACTCTCCCCTCACTCCTTCCACCCTGGTAGGCCCACAGGCCCTTCACGCAGGGATGTCCCTCTCTCCAGTAGCCACATGGCTCTCTCACTTCCTTGGGGCCTCTGCTCACATGGCCCCCTCCTCGAAGAGGTCTTTCCTGGCCCCCTTCCTGGCGGCTCTGTCTCAAAGAAAACAACCCCTCCTCTCCGTCACCGTATACCCTCATGCCCTACCTTGGTAGCTTGTATGCCTACCTGAAATCTGTTCTGTGTGTATCTGTTTCTTTCTTGTCTGCCTTCCCCATCAGAGTGTAAGGCCTTCTTCCCACTCTTGGGGGAAAACAAAGCTGACCCCATAGAGAGGACTCAAGACTGAATGCATGGAGAGATGTGAGGTCCAGACGGATCCGCCATGGGTGTTCTGGCCAGGGAGAGTCAGTCAGGGTCGTTTCTGGAGAAACTGGAGTGTGAACATGACCCCACCAGTTGGAGCTGCCCTCTGCTTCACAGCCTCACTTCACATGCTCTGGCCCCCAAGTCACACTCAATGCTGCCGTCGGACGCCCCATCTCAGACCCCACAGAAGAAAACAGGGCACTAGGCGGAAGGAAGTCCCCCTGTAGCTGAGCCCACTGCCTCCCAGGATACCGCGGGGACTCTGCTGTTGGCAGCGCAATCCCGGGGCCCTCAGCTCGCCCCCAACACTGAGGTCTCCTGCCCACACTGCACTGTGCTCTCCATGGGGAATGCTGGGAGACAAACAGGGGTCCACTCACTGTGACCTCATCACAATCCCAAAGGCCTACCTCTTCACCCCATCACCTTGGGCGTTAGGGTTTTAGCATATGAATTTCGAGGGGACACACACATTCAGACTCTAGCAGGTACTGCTGTCCTTTAATGCCCAGTGCTCAGCCGATGCCCCTGTAGGTGACTGCCACGGGCTTCGCAGGCTTGCCTCCGGTTCTGTCCTGGATCCCGGCTTCTCCCTCTCCTGGCCTGGACTACCCAATCTCTCAATTTCAGGTCTTGGCAAACCCCCAGTGACCTTCAACTCCCTCCAGCCGTCATGCTGCCTGGGCCCCAGACCTGTGGAGCGTCCTGAAGAGCCAGCCCACCAGCCACGGAGGGAAGGGGCCTCCCTCTCCTCTGAGGGCCTGCCACCTCTTGAAACAATCTAGAGCAATAATATAGCTTAAGTCCCAGCCCGATTTACCCGGTTTGGTTCCCAATTATTGAAATTTCCTTCCCAGGCTTCCGAGGAATCAGGGCTGGGTGGAGGGGTTGGTTGGGGCTGGCCCTGGGCCCTGTGGTGTGATGCCGCGGGGAAGCTGTACGTCAGGATCTGGGGTGAAGTCGAGCTCTTCCACTGGGGCCAGCTGGAGAGGCTGACACTAGGCCAGAGCAACAGGCCTGCCAGCTTGGATCTCCTTAATCTCTCCAGGCTAAGAGCACAAACAGAGGTCACAGAGCTTATGCCTCAGTATTTTATTTTATTCTATTTTTTTAAAGATTTTATTTATTTATTTGACAGATAGAGATCACAAGTAGGCAGAGAGGCAGGCAGAGAGAGAGAGAGAGAGGAGGAGGAAGCAGGCTCCCTGCCAAGCAGAGAGCCCTATGCGGGCCTCAATCCCAGGACCCTGGGATCATGACCAGAGCCGAAGGCAGAGGCTTTAAACCACTGAGCCACCCAGGCACCCCTATGCCTCAGTATTTTAAAAATAAAAATCACACTAACACAACACGTAATGAGTATGTTCTCCTCCTACCCTGACAAGTATCTTTTCATAACAAGTTGGGATGCCAGGTCCGGATTTAGAAGGTTCATGTTCCCCAAAGTTCTAAGTCCAAAGAGGGCAGCAGAGGAAGGCCCCTAACTTGGAGTTCCCCCTGGCAAGTTTTCTTTCCATTGCCAGCTCTGTCTCACACCACAAGGGGACTTCAGTGAATGTACCTCGACACCCCAGCCCCCCACATGAACTTCATACAAACAGCTGCCCGACCTTGCATCAGCCAAGGATAAGCAGTATTGTCTGAGAGAGAATCATGCAGGCCCTGAAAGTGGACTTTGAGGCACGGGGGCTGGGGCTGTGGTAGTTCCCGGTACCCTAAGGCAGGCCTAGTAGTGGGGGCATAGCCACTTGGCACCGTGAACCCCTCACCCTATGAAGGGTGATGCCAGAGAAGAGCCAGAGCAGGCTCCATAAAGTGTGAGGCCCAGCGCCCCAGGTCTTAGGGTGCTACCTCCCCAGACCGTACAGTGGAGCTGGCAGACATGGAAGGGTCCTGGGGAGCGCAGCCTAGAGCACTTGCTTGAGGCAGGAAAGGGGTGTGAAAAATCTGTTTAGAGGGCACTAATGGAAGAGATCTTAAAGCATCAGAGGCAAATCCATACTCCTCTTTCGCTGTTTCTAAAAATCTTCCCTTAAAGGAAGATTTTGTTCCCATTGAGGATCTTTAAAAAATCCTCTGCAAATAGTTCCAGAACACTCTGTTGTAAAATTTCTAGTATGTTGGCAAAAAAACAAGCTTTGTTGCTTGCGTGCTTCGCCATTCACAAAATATTCTATCCATCCAATTCAAAAGTTGGAACAGAATATTAAAACTTTCGGTAAGTTCTGAACAGTGAACCCTGAATTGTTTTTAGCATTGTTTTTTGATTATGACCAGTTGAAGGGAGAACTACCAGGAGAAATGGGAATAAAAAGGCGGAGTCATTTTTTAAAAAATATTTTATTTATTTATTTGACAGAGAGAGATCACAAGTAGGCAGAGAGGCAGGCAGAGAGAAAGGAGGAAGCAGGCTCCCTGCTGAGCAGAGAGCCCGATGCAGGGCTCGATTCCAGGACCCTGAGATCATGACCTGAGCCAAAGGCAGAGGCTCAACCCACTGAGCCACCCAGGAGCCCCGGCAGAGTAATTTTTTAAAAATAAATGATTGAGCTGGCTCTAGGGAGGAACAGAGATGTGGACACAGATGATGAGAAAAAGCAGCATAAAAGACCGACCTACACAGAAGAATGTTCTTCCAGTTGTGCCTTTTACGACACTCAATATTCTGAAACCATGTGGCATCTTTACAACCAGAGGCATCAGCAGTGATATCATCTCTAAGTACTTGCCATGTGAGTTGTATGAACGTGTGTGACAGACTTCAGGTTTGTCAACCCTTTCTAGAACTGTCTGGGCATGAACCCCCCAGCCCAGTCACAGAGGTGGTTCGTCTTAAAAGCATCAAGCAAGCAGCAGGAATCAGGCATCTGAATCTCTTTTGTCCCTATAGCAATCAGTCTCCCATAATAACTAATTCTTCGATAGGACTGGTGCCTTTTAGCACAGGACAGCATATGGCCCCTAGTGGTCCTCCCTAGAGCTGGGGCAGGTACCCCTCCTTGAGATACAGATAAACTGGAGAAAGGGGAAACTGCTGCCTGTCTCTGAGAGCAAGTGAGTTACTGGAGATTTGGGACAAGAATGAGGAAGCAGACAAGTGTCCCGCCTCCGGGTGCTTCGTGCTCACCATTTTGCTCACACTCGCCCTCCCCTCCCCCACCACCCTCATCCACTCAGGGCAGAAGAGCATGGGGCATCCATGTTCTTGACAGCCAGGTGACTCAGGCGCGGATGCCTGACCGTGACAACAGGGAGGCATCATTCTGGGCTCTTCTGATGAGAGGTTGTAGATGTAACCAGCTGTATGTGGTAGGGGAGGACCCAAGAAGCAGCTCTAGGAGGACCTGTTTCCAAGAAGCCAAGAAAAAACAGGGTCTAATGGTGCCTTGAAATTAAACACATGACATCCAGGTGGCCCAAATATGGAAACAAAATAATAGCCGTGCTCGGGGAAATCACCATCCTCGCCACGTCTGAGGACACTGGCCCAGATGAAAAGGGAAGGAGGGAGGGAAGGGGCAAACCAAGGAGGCCGAGCTGCTGCTTTGAGCCGGGTTTGCCCACTGAGGAGAGACACCAGGGCTACTGTTCTTAGTGGCAGCTAACTGTGACCACTGGGTGAGGCACGAGTAACTCAAGAGGTGGCCTTCAGAGTCAGAGCTTAACAAATACACGTGGCAGAGAAAAGTGGCTGGCTGGATGGACTGATGGATGGATGGAGGAACAGAATAAAGGAATTGGTGCTTTGCTCTCAATGTTTCCACAGGCACAGGGTTCTGGTTATGTTTGCTCCTCCGTATTTCTGGAGCTGTGTTTCAGGTTGTAATGTTGGATCCTGCATCTAACCAAATTTTATAATTTTCATTTTTAAATTGAAGTGGGGACTTAGGAAGGGCAGTGGAACTCCAGTGAAGAAACTCTTCTCAGTCCTGTTGGCTGGAAGAAGTCGTCCAACCTCTCACCTCCTCATCCTCTTCCCCACCAGCAGCCTGGAAGGAGCCCAGACTGTCCCCAGGAGTCATCTCTGGGGAAATGTCACCATCCCTGTGAGGTCATCTTTAGAGAACCTTTGTCACCTAGCAGGTCAGACCTGACTGGGCAATGCTGCGAAGATGCAAACATTGGGGTAGGGAGCCCACCACTCCAAGGCCCCATCTAAACATTTGCTTGATTTTGTCTAGCCCGTGACAATGTTTCCAAAAACATTGACATATGACTTGACTGTACTGGGCTTTTGTGGTTTAGTGTTAAGAGTGTTTTTGTTCAGGGCGCTAGGTGGCTCAGTGGGTTAAAGCCTCTGCCTTCGGCTCAGGTCATGATCCCAGGGTCCTGGGATCAAGCCCTGAATCGGGCTCTCTGCTCGGCAGGGAGCCTGCTTCCCTTCCTCTCTCTCTGTCTGCCTCTCTGCCTACTTGTGATCTCTGTCTGTCAAATAAATAAATAAAATCTTTTTTTAAAAAAAAAGTGTTTTTGTTCATGTGGCAGAGGACAGTAGAGCGCTGGTCTTGGAGCTAGAAAACTTGAGACATTTCATCCGTTGGAACTGGCGTTTCCTTATTTGTAAAATGGATATGATTCTCTGCCTCTCACAGGATGTGGTCGGAATTGAACATAAATTAGATGATGTAGCTGCACGTTCTCTACAAATGTAAACTGCCAGTTACACTATTTATTGAGTGCCTTCTGGATGCAAGGCTCTGTCTAAGTACATTACATGAATCAACTCATTGAAGCTTTATAACAACACTGGGAGGTAGGTACTGTTATTACCCTTGCTTCTAGATGAGGGAACCAAGACTCCAGCCCAAGTCCACTCAGCCAGGAAGTGGAAGCCTTCGGATACAAGCCAAATAGTCCAACTGCAGAGCCTAAGTGTGCACACACACTTCTGAGTATGGCCGCCATGCCACGGACTGCAACTTAGTAGAGCCCGTCAGCACTGGAGCACATGGTGGGGTGCCATGAGTTTGACCATGGACCAAAGGCTGATTTCAAAACTCGTACAAGGTGCATCGTCATTGCTCATGTTTGTCTGAAGATGTTGATAAAAAAATCATTTCTTCAGGTGATGGTGCATGACACTGTCACAGAAAAGGAAACAGAGGCCGGGAAGTGAAGAGTCTTAGACCATGGTCACGCAGCCAGGAAGCAGCATGGACGGCATTGGAACCAAGTTCCCAGGACTCACAAATTGCCCTCACACCTGGCCACCTCTTCTTGTCTGTGCATCCTGCTTAGATCTTGACATAAGGCGGGATCTAAAAACATATTTTTCTCTCACCGCTGGAGGTTCTACATGAAGAAGAAGCAATAGTTGAATGATATGGATGTGGCAAGACAAACAGACCATTCTGGAGCCCATGTTACTGCCCCTGGAAGGAAGACACAGACCGGACTCCACCATGGGGCTGGGGCTGGGGAGTCGTGCAATGATCAGAGGGCAGCACAGGACACCAGAGGTGACCTCGCCCTATTCCACAACCTTCCCTCAGGCCAGCCTGGGGTTGAGAAGAGGTCTGAAATGAATGTGTTTACCTTACCTGGTGGCACTTCCCATATGGCAGTGAGTGTGTCCCTGGTGCACAGAGCAGTGTGGGTTCCTCAGTGGGATCTGGTCTCTGGGGCTTACCTTGGTGTGTCTGCAAGTTCCACATACTGTGCTTAAGAATAACAGAAATACACTTAGATTGGAATGCATGGGTCCACCTCCCACCTATGCTATTGAAAATCAGAGTGGGCCAAAAACAGCAAGCTGGGAACCCAAACCCCAGTGGATTTCATTCTGGCCCCCAAACCCAAGGAGAATGATTTCCAAAAGCTCCTTCAGTTGCCTAAACATGGTGGCCGCCTCAGACCATCAAAGATGGTGTTCAGAATAGCCCCAGACAAGAGCCCAGAGCATTTTGAGCAACTTGCGGACTCAACTGAGTCACAACTTGTTTTAGGTCAAGACGATTCATCTAAATAAGGCACAAGAGAAGCTGGTGTTTCAAGCTGGCAGGACAAGATGGAAATAGCTCCCCCGCCTCCCTGGAGCCCACTGGTCCACCTCCAGCACCTGACACAGAAGTCACCAGGCCTGTGGCCAGAGATCTGTAATCCCAACTGTGGTGAGGAGAATAACCACCAAGGACGCTCCTCTGTTAGTTTTGGGTGGACAAGTGAGAATGGGCCTCTGGCAGCGGAGCTCTGGCTTGGCCCGCAGACCTCAAATGTCTGAGGCGTGAAGGAGGACACATGTGGGGCTCTCAGCACCAGCCTGGGAGGGCACCGGCTGACCAAACCAAATGGTGTGTCATGAGCCATGGGCTTGGAAAAGGTCAATGTCTGGCCGATAAGCAAAAGTAGCCTTTTCTGGAGCACACACCAGTAGAGATGTACGTTAGAGACTCATTGCTAAGGTCAGGTTGGGTAGAGAAACCAGCCTGAGCAGAGGAACAAATCAGAAACAGAGAGTGGCTCTCCTGATCAAGCTCCATGGGGCCAGCACCATGTCTGTGCCATTCACTGTCCTTCCTGACACTCAACCTGTGCCCAGCCCAGGATAGTGACTACTAGTTACTGAGTGGACTCTGTCTCTCCTCTTGTAGCTACTGGAGTCAGCATGCTTTCTTGGAAATATTAGACATTTCAGCCCCAGTTCTGCTGAGACTTTAGCCCTTTAGTTTCCTTATCTGTAAAATGGGTACAAGGCTCTCCTCCTTTGTCCCAAGGTTGCTGCAATGAATGTGGGAAATACTTGAAATGTGAAAGCACCTTATAAACATAAGGGATTATAACCATTGCCACTGGGGATCTGGTCTCCTCAGAGCTGTTGGGTTACTTTGAAAGCAGTCAGAACCTGAAAGTATGGCAAAGTTTCGAGTTGCTCTTTCAATTGTAAAAGACAGTATCTTTTTTTTTTTTAATTAAAGACTATTTGTTTGTTTGAGAGAGAGAGAACACAACTGGGGGGGGAGGCAAGGAAGGGGCAGAGGAAGAAGCAGACTCCCCACTGAGCAGGGAGCCCGTCGCAGGGCGCAATCCCAGGACACAGGGATCATAACCTGAGCTGAAGACAGACACTTAACTGACTGAGCCACTCAGGTGCTCCTGAAGGATGGTATCTTGAAGGACTCTCACACCTTCTGCTTTCCATTGTAGGCCTGAAGTGTGGCCACCCCTGTGATGATAGCATTGGACCAATGTCTGCCAGAGAGACACTACCATTATAAGTGGCTAACTGTGAACTCAGTATCCACATCTGAGCAGTGAAGACTGAAGAAGTGGAAATTCTTCACCTTTCTTACGCACATTAAAATAGAACTGACTGATACAGTATCCTCTTTATTTGTTTTTTTTTTTAAGATTTGTTATTTTTGGGGCACCCGGGTGGCTCAGTGGGTTAAAGCCTCTGCCTTCGGCTCAGGTCATGATCTCAGCGTCCCGGGATAGAGCCCTGCATTGGGCGCTCTGCTCAGCAGGGAGCCTGCTTCCTCCTCTCTCTCTCTCTGCCTGCCTCTCTGCCTACTTGTGATCTCTGTCAAGTAAATAAATAAAATCTTTAAAATATATATATTTGTTATTTTTAAGTGATCTCTACACCCAGCTTGGGGCTCAAACTCACAACCCCAAGATCAAGAGTTGCACACTCTCCTGACTGAGGCATCCAGGTCCCCCTATAATATCCTCTTTAAAAATAAACTCTCTGGGGGCGCCTGGGTGGCTCCGCGGGTTAAGCCGCTGCCTTCGGCTCAGGTCATGATCGCAGGGTCCTGGGATCGAGCCCTGCATCGGGCTCTCTGCTCAGCAGGGAGCCTGCTTCCCTCTGTCTCTCTCTCTCTGCCTGCCTCTCTGCCTACTTGTGATCTCTCTCTGTCAAATAAATAAATAAAATCTTTAAAAAAAAAATAAAAAAATAAACTCTCTGGGTCTTTTGTATTAGAATGAAGGGCCTGGTGAGTTGGTAAATACAAACATCAGCTACTGTTCAGCGAGTGCCATTCCCGGGGACAGGCATTGGCCAGGCATTTAACCAACACAGTCTTCTTTACTTCTTTCTTCAATGCTATAAGGTCAGTATTTTTCCCATTTTATAAATAAATAAATCAAAGCCCTGGAGCGCCTAGGTGGCTCAGTCAGTTAAGCCTCCGACTCTTGATTTCGGCTCAGGTCATGATCTCGGTGTTGTAAGGTCGAGCCCGCATCAGGCTCTGTGTTCAGGGTGGAGTCTCCCTCTCCCCCTGCCCCTCCCCCCTCACTCATGCTCACACACTTGTGTTCTCTCTCTTGCTCTTTCTAAAAGAAAGAAAGAAGGAAAGAAAGAGGGAAGGAAGGGAGGAAGGGAGGGTGAGAGGGAGGGAGGGAGGAAGGAAGGAAAGAAGGAAAGAAGGAAGGAAAAAAATCAAAACCCACAGACATTAAGTAACTTCCCCAAGATCACCAGCAGACACTGGATTTCTCTAGCAACAAAGATGAAGAGGCAGAGAGAAAAGCTCAGGACCAACCAGCGCAATGACAGCAAGACCCCTCTCTTTTGTTGCAGACCTCCTTGTGTGCAACAGGCAGGAGCCGTCTATAAGCCAGCCATCTGGGGCAGGGGACATCCGGCTGCTCCTGAACCAAATGAGATCAGTGAAAGGAATGGAGGCATGCCCCACTGTTGGGGGTAAACTGGAATGACAGGGTCTTTAAGGAGACTTCGGAGCAATCACGTGGGCACTGAGCTTTCCAAACCTTTTCAAAGTCAGCAGCCTGGAAGACCCGCCACTTACTGTGTCTCAGCCTCACACCTTGGGACCACCAGGGAGCATTAATATACTGATGCTGGGTCCGACCTCTCAAGACTGAGATTTGATTGAATTAGGCAGGCAGGGCCTGGGGATGGGGACTTAGCACATCTCCCCAGGCGGTTCAAGCCTGCAAGAGTGTTGAGAATCACTGCTTCGAGCTGAGCCTTTTGGGAGCTTTTCCTGTAGAAATGTCTTCAAAGTCCGTGGCACTTTCCTTTGAATCTTGTCGAGAGTAACCAGTCTTCTTCCTT